TAATGGTGAATTTCCTCCTTTGGGTAAGTTCCAATTTTTTAACTAACCTGCATAATTGCTCTTCATGAGAAGGCAATGGGGGCCAACAAAAAGAGAATACACTTTAAACTAAAAGGCCTATGTTTGAATTCACCCAGCTATGCAGCTTGCTGGTTGGGTATGTTTGGGAAAGCTAAACTTTAAGCCTTAGCTTCCTCCTTGTAATGTGCAAATAGCAATACCTCCCAGGGTTGCTGTGAGTATTAAATAAGAGATAACTTAGGCTGTTCCCAGCCTAGAGTACACTGGGAAAAAGTGTTAATTCCCATATCCTTTCCTTCACATCATTATTGCTAGTGTGATTATATGGGTCATGCGTGAGAACACTGAACTTTGTTTTCAGCTTTCTGAGATGTCCATGCTGCCCAAAAATAGAATGTGAGTGGAATCACCCAGAGCCTGGCATACTGGCATTTAAGATATCCAGTGCTAACGTTATGAAGAGAGAATATTCCAACTGTTATTTTCCTACCCCTAACTTGCAAAAAATTTATTGACCCATGTTGATGTGCTGAGAAATAACGCCAAAGCATTTACATTTACTTTCAAAAGAACAAAGCTCTTAAATTGTCTCAGCAAAATGACTATCATAAATAGAAACAAAAAAATAGGTCTGTCAAAGCATCCAGACCGCCCTCCAGTGCCCTACCTTTCAGCATCAATGCCTAATGTTTCCATATACATATCCATTCAGGTTCTCAGCTTGACAGATCGCAGACAGTGTCTATCAGAAAGCATTTGCTTTTCTCCTTCTATATTTTCTCTTCCTTTTGTCTTTTTAGTCATACGAAAGAATTTCAGGGTTGGTTTGAGTCAGCAAAATTATAAACTTAAAATTCTACATGGCATTCCTTTAAAATACTTACTAAAAGAGTATGTTTTATATTCATTTTTACCCTTTTTTTTTCATGGTTACTTTAGAAATGTGAACATTTAAATATTTGCAGTGGTTACAAGCACAGACTTAGTGTCAACCTTAGGTTTGATCCTGGCTCAGTCACTCACTTGTCGTGTGACCTTGGGCAAGTATTTAACCTCTTCTAAACCCCAGGTTCCCTTGTGTAAAATGAAAATTACGACAGTACCTGCTTCATAGATTGTTGAAGGAATGCATAAAATAAAGCACAATATCTTTACAGAGCTCAGCTCAGTGCCTAGCACATAGCTAAGGAATGTTAACATTTCTACTGGGATGATATATTTATAGGCGTGTTAATATAATCATTATATTAATGTGGTGAGAAGTGGAGATTAACTGCACACCTCAGGATTACATACTGTACTTGACACTAATTGTTTGGGTTCTTCAGTAACTTACCGTCAATCACAGATGCTCTTTAAAAAATTCTGGGAACAGATTTTCTTCTTGGAAATAATACTTTTTGAAAAGCATAAACTTTAACATGTCCTCCATATCAAAAGCACAAAGGAAGCCTTATTGTGTTTTCACAGAAACCACATAGTAAAGCCTTAATCTAATTAACCTAAAGTTGAGGGAGCACACATTAAGTATTATAATAATTTATTGCTTTCCCATATTTACTTTAATAAATGTATTGACCACATTCTCAGTTTTATGTCAAATACAGATATTTACACATGTCATATGCATCCTGTGTATGGATATTTTGTGAGTTCCTTATGCTTTATCTTTTAAAATTTCATCAATATTATCCTTTTCGTCTAGTCTAAGGAGAGATTAAGAAAGTCTGTTTCCCAGGGCCAGCCAGCCCCGTGGTCGAGTGGTTAAGTTTGTGCACTCAGTTTCAGCAGCCCAGGGTTTGGCGGTTCGAATCTTGGGCACGGATGTGGCACCTCTCCTCAGGTCATGCTGAGGCGGCGCCGCACAGGCCACACCTAGAAGGACCCACAACTAAAAATACACAACTATGTACCAGGGGGCTTTGGGGAGAAAAGGAAAAATAAAATCCTTTTTTTTAAAAAAAAGGAAAATGCTGTAAAGCAGGGCCTTTGTTTAAAAAAAAAAAAAAAAAAAAGAAAGTCTGTTTCCCTAGTCATCTTAGTCATTATCCACCCCCATCATCCCTCCAGGCTAAGAACATCGTGCAGACTGAGTTATTAAAGCTGATCTGAAAGAGCAATCTGTTCTAAATGACTGCCCCTGGATCTGCCTGGAACCCTGTAAATACCCATCATTACTCTGGCGGGGCAGTATCATGTTTCCTTCGTGCTACTTTTGTGGCAGACACAAGTTAGGCAGTGAGATTTGGACTTTGGATGATCCTGGTTGATTGATATAGGAATGGTGCTTCTCCTAAGACAGGTAACCACAAGTTTACTTTTCAAGATAATATTTTAAAATGGGTATTCCGTTTGTATTTTTTAAAAATGTTTTTAGTTTTTAAAACTAAATAGGTTTTAAACTTATAGCTATTTAAATATTTTTAGTTCTAGTTTTAAGCAAGAGTTTTCAAAACTATTTTAGACGAAAAAGAAATTTCTTAAGGATTTAATTATATTTCTCAATTACATTGTATCAGACCCTTTATAATCCACTATACATATATTGTTTTGGATGGTCAAGAACTTGTCTCTGGTGTGAGTATTTTTCCCATTAACAAAAGTTAGAAAATACGTAGATGTCTCTGTTCTTTAAAAATAAGACATAGAGGGGTTTTATTTCATCTGATCCTGGAGGGGGTTAGCTAAATATAAGTCTGTGAACTTTAAGCAAAGTTTACTAAAACTTTGGTATATATGAGCAATTTCTTTTAAAGAATTAAAATTTATAGCAATATGGAAAAATAGCAAATACAAAAATTTTATAAGCACAGAAATTCTCTCATGCTTATCCTCCAAGTGAAGACTTCCTCTGCCATAGATCTTCTAGATTCTTTGACATTCCCGTGGATCATCTCAATGTGAGTAAATTGTTTCTGTAGCTGAGTGGCTGAATTAAGAAAACAGCTGAAGGCAAGCGCAGGATCATGTTCAAACCACAATAAACACATGTGTTTGGTGAGCCACTCTATTTTATGGGGAAGGTTTAAAACACGTAAGCTTGTATTTATTTGTCACCTTTCAAATTTGTTTTTAACTATGTTGGATTTTTTTTAAGTTTTAAAAATTATTCTTTCTACCAATAAACTGGTAAAATCTGAACTAGTAGATTTGTGGTATAATGTTTGTACAATTACCGTGATGATATACAGGGTAAAGGATTTGTTACTTGGGAGGAGAAACTAATTTTAAAAAACTAGAATCTAGAATATAAGTTTGATGTATTGTAAGTGTGATAGCCACAGTTGCTGAATATTATGTATTTAAAATATTTATAACCAGCTTTTTTTCAAAGAGCTCAAAAACTTTGTACACTATCTGTATTTGAAAATGTTACAGTAAAAATGAGAAGAGAAAGATTACTGCTATTCAAAAATTCTTTGTCTTTCTTCTATAACTCTTTTCTGCACTTTAACTCTATTTTAATTCTTTTCTAATTCCACTGACCAACCAACTCTGTTTTACCTTTCAGCTTATCACGGCACAGTTCGCAGGGAAGTAGAAATGTGTTCACTTACAGTGCGTGTAAGCCTTTCCCTTTGGAAAATCAAATTGTTGCACATCTAGTTGCTACCCAAAATAGAGGTTCCACCTTCCCACATCCCCACCCGAGACCCAGCCCCACTTACATGATTATGCCTCAAGATCTGAGTGGGATAGTCGGGGGAAGATCCTCTCTTCAAATAAAAAGAAATTGTTGGAGCATCTGTATAAATAGAAAATGCAGAAACACAATTAAGTAGTCTTGAGGTTAATAGCAGCACATGATTAGGTCAGAGAGCAAGTGAACCTGTACGTTGAAGATCTAGATACTGCAGTAGTGAAAATGACTTATCCTCGTAATTCTGTTCTTCTTGTACCGTTTTTCCCTCCTCAGTAATAGTTCTTCTGACTTGGATTATTTAAAAGTTTTCTTCAATTCTCTTTTTCATTTTGCCCTATAAATACAAAGTTCCATAAAAAAAGTCATAGTGAAACCTCTGATGTGACCACAATAAACAAAGAAATTTTATACTTATTCAATATTCTATAGAGAGTCTCAAGATTACTGAAAAGGGTAAAAAGATCTCTCAGTAAATTCCATGAGGTCAGGATTCCGGTACATTCTGTGCACTGCTTTATCTCCAATACCTGGGACATAGTAGGCATTAGGTAAATATTTGTCGAATGAATGAATGGGAAGAACTACTACAAGCTGTTGTGATTTAAGTAAGAAAGCTAAATTTAAGCCAATGCATTTCACGTTATCCAGATCCAAGAAAGATCCTTTAAAAAATAACCAATGGCATTTATCTGAATTTTCAAAACCTAGGCTTCTCCCAAGATTAATAATGTTATAGCACATTTACACTGTACTTAAGTGGGGTTAACTTTTTTTCCAAATTCACATTCTGAAAATGTATGAAATTACTATCAAAGAAGCTATACTTTGACAGAGTAGATTTTTGAGAAGATGTTGGTTTGGTTAAGGATTCTTTTTTATTGATTGTTAATGCTTGGGAAAGAAGACATCTGGCATAGACTTTTTCTCAATAACATATATAAAGTTATTCCAGGTAGTAATACATGAATAGGAGTTGTATTATATTATGCTATATAGTAATTTTGACTTTCAAACAGTATCTGATTAGGTTTTTTCTGAAGACGTTTGTTCAAATTAATTTGTTACTGGTTTATTCTCAGGCTACTGGTTTTTTCTTCTCCATTTTTTTCTGTGATCTTTAATTAACAACTTTTAATGTTAGTTATCTGCTCTACTTTTGCTTAGCCCTTGGAAAAACCGTTCAAAAAAGTCTCAGCTTTAAAATATTAGACCTCAGCTTCATATCGGCTTTTTATAGTTAACTTTCCTAAAACATATCAGTGATTAAGTGAGTCAATTTCCCATTAATTAAAATTAAGGCCCTTAAAAATTAATTTTAATATATTTTAAAAATAATGCCATTTTCTTTGACAGATGGAATGTGGTGTAATGAATTTAATATTAATTTCAAACATAAATCAATAAACAACTTGGGCCTCTAGCTATAAGTGAAATTCTATAGGTAGAAAAACCGATTGACCCCGACTGCCCATAGGTGCTGTCCTGCTGTGGAATCCCTTTGCTCAGTTTTCTCCTGTCCAATCAGGTGGAATGTTTCACAGGCACATGGTTTATACAGCTCAAAATAACTTGGGACCTGCGAGCTGACAAATGCTCTGGCTCCGGTGGTGACAGGTTGTCCAGCTTCTTACAGCCATCTTCACTGAAGCTGAGGTTAACTCCTCACTCTCTATGGACGGCCACTGTCTATTTCCAAGGGCGTGAAGAATTCTCTTTTTCTCCTGTGCTTTCATCTGAAAGTTCTCCTCGGATATTATCATCACAGTGGAGTGCCTGAGCTGAACATCCTCATCTGGGTCAACTAAAAAAAGAAAGGTAATATCCAGATTGAAGTTCTCAAGTGTGTTTTGATAACAGGGCACTGACAATGGGAAAAGGGATATTTCAGAGACCTAATTACTGTTGTTCCGAGTGAAACCTAGGATAACTTTCTAATTATGTATGATGGGATACAAAATTACGTGAAAAATGAAGTTTGCTACATGTAAAGATTTTGGAGGGGATTGATGATTCTCACAGAGATCACAGCCTACTTAGGTCCTAAGGAAAAATATCTCAATAGAGGAGGTTGTAACGTGTTGCATATATCATTGGCATTTTCCACACATTCATTTATTAAAACAATGGTGTCTGTATAAAAAATATGTATGCAATGCCTATTTCCTTTTTAAAGGAAATCAAATCTAAAATAATATGACTCCATAGTTAAAGACTTTCATTTTAAATTTTTTTATCATGTAAAAGGATATGCTTGCTATATTTAGTGTTGGGCGATCTGCTCCCTGGATTAATGTACACAACAGCTGCAAAAAGTCTTGCTCAAAGGACATTGCTCTTTCTTTCTCCTTTCTCTCTCTCTCGCTCTCTCGCTTACTCGTTCTCTCACTCTCTCTCTTCCCCTCCCTTTTCAGCTGCATCAGAAAGACACTTGACAGTCAGTGGCAAGTGTTTGGCCTGGTACATTGCACTATTAGCAGTAATTAGATGAACATCTTGAATTATATTCTAAAAACCATATAAGCAAATAAAAGAGAACATGGGTTAATCTTCATTTCCATCCCCAAAAAGTGAACATTACAGTAATGGTGCTGAGAAATTTTATTATCTTATCAAAGCAGATATTTACCCATACTTGTTAAAGATACTAGCATCAAACAATTTGAAAGAAACAAAACAGCTGTATAGTTTTCTTTCTAAAAAAATTATGATTCAATTACTTTCACATTGGTAATGATGGAATGAGTTCTATAACATCTAAATTAAAAATTTGTCATAACTTTTTAGTCTCTCCTTAATAATCACTCTTAAGTTGACATAAAATCCATAATCCTTTTCTAGGAAATTGAGAATGTCTATACTTATAACTATAACAAACATTTTTAAACAAAAATTAAGGTGTGCTATCTGACACGTAACTTGACAACAAGCGAAATGTTTAAAATCAAGGCCATCCCAGGAAGTTTGAAATACATGCACACTATGTTTACTTTGTCAGGAGACAAAATTATAGACATTACAGAATCTTATAATAATGGACTCTGAAACAAACAGTTGGATACTATCCAAATTCTGGAAGTTTGTCTCTATTCCCGCTTATAGACTATTGCTAATGCTATTGGAACTTGTAATAATGTGTTAAAGCCCCAGTGTTCCATTTATCTATAATTTGGAATACAGCCCTTATTACATATTTCTATTACAACGTGCTTACAAAGGCATATATTCAGTGGAATGGACTCAGAATCGCAATTCATGGACACTAGAAATTGAATGAGTTCTATCCAGGCTGTGTTTTGGAATTCATAGAGATGATTTTTCACATTTACTTTTGAAGAAGTGGGACAGCAGGTAAATCAGGTTTCCTTGCAAAAGGACTTTCATGAACTAAGTGTTAGTATACGAAAAGGTAATAGCTAAATTTCCCAGCAGTTAATTCCTATATGTAATAGGAGTAATGAACTCAGCTCACTAACCTGAAAATATAAGATGAATGATATTGCTAACCCCAAAATAATTCGTTTCCTTCATTGGCATTGAGATTTGACATAGGCATTGCTTATCATGTGGTGTTATTGCCTATATATAACAAGACAAAAAAAGAAAAGATTTTCTTAACTTTTTCCCTCTTCTAAGAGATAAAGAAGAATCAAGCACCACGGAGATTTTTTTTAAAACTTCTATGATGCTTCATAGTTGACAAAGAGCCTTTAAAACTACTAGGGCGTTGTGCGTTTGCTTAAAGGAAACAAACCAAGCACAGATAGAATGGTCTGTTGAGAGATTTATAAACATATTTTCAGCAGACACATTTTTGGTGGGTGCAAAAGTTGGTGTGACTATTCACCTGCAGTAACCACAGAGTTATTAGAGCTCATATATAACCAGAGTCACCTTGACAAACTCTGTTCAGGCTGTTTGCTACGTAGACCTCCAATTGGAATCACAATGTACTCCACGCTCTGGGAGGGGCCCAACAGAGCCTTCCCACCAAATGCTTGAACCAGAACTAGATCTTGAGACCCCAAGCCTACTTGGGGCACTTGCTCCTCTGCCAAACTAACAAATATGTTATGTCAATTTAATTATGGAAGTTATCTTTTCTCAAATCCTTAATCACCTAAGGAAAATTGACCCAAATGTTAAGAGGCTGAAGAAGGATGAAAATGTTAAAATTTTTTCTTATTTAAAATGAATCTTTGAGTTAATGGGGATTTCTTCTTTGGGATTTCCTATATAAGAGCTAAGTTAATCATGAATGGTGAGAGGTTGAGAATGATATAAAATCTCTCACCACTAAACTCTCTTTTTGGTCCTAGATTCCTGAAATCTTCTTGCTTGCCTTCCATTACCCTTTCTAGGGGTTGTAGAATTTACTTTTATACTACTTCTTTGCTATCTTTCAGATTAAATGCTAACTTTGGGCTCTGGCTTCAGTATCCTTTACACTAGTGCTTCCCTACATGTTTATCCTCTTTTGCACCGGAAAACACACATAGTATGTTTCATAGTAGCCAATCTCTTTTTGTCCCACTCAAACTAAATCTTTGGTTTCTTTCCTTCCTTCCTACTTTTACCAATTCAATTAAAACGATAGTACAAGAACGGTTTACTCACCTTTGGCCCATTATCTAAAAATCTTTTCATTCCTTTAACCCTTGCCCTTTAGGGAATGTCCCTAATTAAACAGATTCCTACTAATTCTCCTATGTATCACCTCTGCTCTGTCTCTTTACTTCAACATTCTCTTCTAACATATACATTTGTCTGTATTTGTTTTTATCTACTGTTTTTCCTCTTTCACACTGAAAGAGGAATTAAGAGAGTGGTACTTATATTATTTCCATAATCCTACTGACATGTTTCTATATATCTCAACCTCTTATTCTGATAATGAAGTATATACCAATTTAGTAAATTACTAACGCCACTCACACCAAGAATAGACTAGCAATAAAACTAAGATGAGGATGATCACTGTAATAGTGAGAGGATGGAAACTATAACAATGAAGAAGGATTTAGCTCAAACTGCATTCCATCTGCAGCCAAATTTTAAAAACGTGATCTGTACCCAACCCTTCAGCACTAGTTCCTATGTAATGGAATTTAGTTCTTGGCCCAGCAAGAGTTTCTCCAGAAGAACTGATTCAGATACTTTTCCTGTGTGACATCGTGGGCTATAGAAGACAAGACAAACAGGTCAATGCCAGCATTAAAGAGAGGGATCAAAGTCTAATTTTGTCAATTATTCTTCCCCTAAAGAACATTCTAGGTATAATAATTACACATCAGCAGAAAAGGATTACCTTAAATTTGTATAGTGTTCTGCATTTTTAAAGTACTTTCACAAACAAACCTATGAAGTAAGCAGGGTGGTTCTGCTCATCCTCAGTTTAGAGGTGAGTTACTGTAACATGTTCATCTTTTCATATTCCAGCTCTCTAGACAAATAATTTTTAAATATTAGGCTATTTTTGTGCTGACCTAGAAACAAAATTTGCTTTCTCATTTAAGTATCTAAGGAAGTTTATAGCCAAGAAACTTCAGTATTTATATTTGAATCCAAGTTACTTCATATTAGGTTTTGCCAATTCTCCAGTCAATGCCCTAGTTTAAATATTCATATTATAACCAAAAGATGAGTTTATACCACATGATATTTCCAAGAACAAGGTCTTCTTAGAGCCTACAGAAGACTGGTGCTGAGTTAACATGAGGAGGAATATGCTCAAAGTTTTCAGCATCAAGTTTTGTGTTTATGAGCCAGACTTTCACATTTTCAGCAAGTTCCTAGGGCAGATCCTCTTTACAGGAAAAATCCTAGGGAAAAAATAAAGATATTTAGCAAAGTAAAGTAAAGAACATTCAATAAGCTTTCCGTGTGGCCAAATTAGTTTACATGATTTACTAATGTCTGTCTTGATTAACCATACCATATAACCATATCATCTGCTTCTCAAAACTTTAAAATGGTTTCCCATTCACACATTTAATAAAAGTCAGTGTTCTTCCCATGGTCTGCAAGGCCTTACATGGTCTAGCCTTATACTTTTCTGATTTCTTTTCCTTCTGCTCTCCTTTTTTGCTCACCTCCCGGCACACCGGGCCTGACTCAAACACAGCAAACATTCACCTCCCCTGGCCTTGACACTTACTTGTTCCTCAGTGAGGAGCTTTCTTCCCCCCAGAGGGTCACATGGCTCACTTCTCCACTGCATTAGAAGCTTTGTCTGACCTTCCCAGCTAAAATAGCACACTTTCTTCCCGCTCCCGTCATTTTCTATTACCTTGTCCTACTTTATTTTTCTTTTTAACATTTATAACTTCCCCACCAGAATGTTAACTCCATGAGGACAGGGAATTTGTCTTTTGTCCCTTGCTGAATCCACAGTGCCTAGAACGGTGCCTGGCCCGTAGCAGAGGCTCAATAAATATTTATTAGATGACTAAATGAAATCTAGGTTATCCATAGTAGCACTTGAGCTTTTGAAAGTACAAATTTTATAACAGATGGTTTTTACATTAATGCTTGAAAGAGAAAGTGATACATTTTTGTATTTCCTATTTTAGGTAATATTTATCAGTTTAACAATTTATACATCTTCATCTGAGAACCCTCTGAGATGAAACTGTTATTATCCCATTTGATAGATGAGGATAATTGAGATTCAGACACATTAAGTTACTTGCTCAGGATAGCAAAGTTATTTAGAGTTGGGGTTGGGATTCAAACGCAGGTTTCCGATTATAATCAGATGTTCTTTTATACTTCTAGTATGAAAACAAAGCACAATTCCAATTATTTTATCTGCCATCAATAAGTTTTCATTTGAAGGTCACCTCGAAGTTGTTACTTTTATATATTTTCTTTGTGTCTGTAAGTTTTCTTTGTAAATATGATTTCTATCTGTCTTGCTTTACCACACAATTAAAAAAAAAGATAAATATAACAGACTTAGCAAAAAATTCTAACGAACAAAAGAATTCAACAGATATTTATTGATCACCTTCTATGAGCTGTGTATGTACGAGATGATGGTGTACAAAACAAAGAGAGGTAGACAGAAAAGTAAATAGGCAAATTTAATATATTGTAATAAGTGCTGTGTTTGGGGGTAAGGATGGTGAGCTTTAGGGGCACATTGGAGAGGTACTCGACCCAGAGAAAAGAAGAAATCCCAGGGCAATATCTCAGCTAAGAACTGAAGACGATGTAGGACTTGGCCCAGTAAGGTAGTGAAGGGAGATGGGGACAAGGAGCAGCCCAAGCGAAGAGAATATGTACCAAGATCTGAAGGCAGCACAGTTCATTCATGAGACTACACATATTTTAATAGAATATAATAACACTGAATTAACTACAAATTTAGAGTTCAATTTCTCTTCAGAGTTTGTCCTTGGATCAAGTCATTTCACCAGTTCCATTTCCAGTTCTTATCATCATGTGTAGCTGTAGTTATTATGTAATAATAATCATAATAATAACGGTAACTACCATTTATTGAACCTTTACTAAACGCCAAGCACATTTAATCATCACTTCAACCTGTGAGATGACTAATGTCATTATTCCTGTTTTACAGACAAGTCAACTGAGGCTTACAGAGGTTAAGTAAGCTAGGAAGCATCAGAACTGGGATTTGAACCAGACCTATCTAACTCCAAAGTGTAGGTAGTAAATGTTACATTGTAACATTAAAGAAGTCCTCTATTTTAAATCCCTGAAAGTTTTGTTATCATAATAATTTCTAATGCTCATCAGCATCAGAACAGGCACACCTTTACATCTCCGTTGGCTTTTTTCTTTAAAAAAGAGAAAAAAACTGTTGCAGAGAGCAGTGATTAGTCATGTGGGTATTTTCGTTTCTATTTTCCACCATAAATATAAGCTTTTTGAAAGTTCTTCAACATTAACATCACCTTTACCTAAGTGCTGTTTTTCACCAGTATCACTTGAGTGCCCATTACAGTGACTGGCTCTGTTTTAAGAGCTTTGCATTCATGATGTTCTTAATCCTCACTCCTGGGAAATAGATATTATCCATGTTTTATAGGTGAGGAATCCAAAGCCCAGAGAAGTTAAGTAATTTTCTCAAAGTCACGTAACTGCTAAGAGATGAAGCCAGAATTTTTGTTTTTTTTTTAAAGATTGACACCTGAGCTAACAACTGTTGCCGATTTTCTTTTTTTTTTTTCTGTTTGTTCTCCCCAAATCCCCCAAGTACATAGTTGCATATTTTTTTAGTTGTGGGTCCTTCTAGTTGTGGCATGTGGGACACCGCCTCAACATGGCCTGATGAGCGGTGCCATGGCAGCGCACAGGATCCCAACAGGCGAAAATCTGGAGCACACGAACTTAACCACTCGGCCACAGGGCCGGTCCCTGAAGCCAGAATTTGAAAACGGATCTACCTGATTCTAAGGCCAATGTTCATTCCATGTTGCCTCAAGATAAAAGCCATCTTAAAATAAAGACTTAGAGACAAAGTTACGTTAAAACACAATATACAGTATTGTCCAACTAAAAGAGAGAAGACCATCCTAATTTATAAAGCACTTAATTTTCCTCCTCACACTCATATATTTATATGTATATATATAAACTCAAACCAGGCTAATGAAATAGTTGATTTACAAAGGAGAAACATTTTCAGTCAGTATATTAATTATATTTTCAAATAGCATTTTGCAACTTATTTCATATATCTTTAACTGTCCTTCCACATAGCTAATGCACAACTGAGACAAATTTTCAATAGGGATATCAATTACACTTTCATATACTATTTTGTATATCATTTACTGTTCTACAAGATTTAAAGTAGCCCTATAGTTCTATTTAATGAATATACCATAATTTAATTAACTAGTTATTTATTGGAAGTAGTTTCAATTTTTAATATCATCTATACTATGATGAATATTTTTGTAGATAAATCTTTGCACCCATCCAATATCTTTGCGTTTTCAATTAATCTCTTTTTAAAGCACAACAAACTTCGCCCAAAAAATTGACTCTGGTAATGGCAATCTCATGCTGTGGCAAACAAGTGGAAAAATATTTTGCTGTAGGTGATCCTTTTAGCCATCTCTAATTTCCCTTTCAAGGTGACTGCCTACTTTGCCAATTTAGAGGTTAGTCTGCTTGGCACTCTAAAAGTTTGAGAACTAGGGCTGTTCCTAGGAAGCCTTATTTGTGACAAGTGAGGCTATCATACGTAAGGGAAAGGAGAGGAGTGAACTGAAATAAATTTTGTCATAGAATCTTAAAGCTGAAAACGATTTAGGAGATTACTTTCTTCTCTGTCTTCCTAGAACAAGGCCCAGTACATAGTAGCCAAGAATGGCAAATAGTCTTCAGCTCCGTTACCATCTCTGATTGATTGGTGGTGACTGAAGGAGTAAAGTGTTAAGTGAAGTGTTAAGAAAGTCAAAGTCAATGAGAAGAGTACTATAATCAGTTAGCTGCCTTTTTGAAGGAGGAGAGAGAGGGGGTAACAACCCATGGGCCACAAGTTTGCCATCCCTCTAGTAAATGTGTGAATGAATAAATTGATCTAATATTAATAATATAAAATTGGTTTGCATTACCAAAATTTCTAGTCCAGGGGAATTTGAACCAAAGTTATTGTACTATTTTCTTAAGACTTTAAAAATTATTTATTTTTCAAATAGGTAATATACTCATATAATTAAATTTCAAAAGTCAGGAAAGGACATAAAGTGAAAAGTGTCCTGTCTTGCACCCATTTCCTTGTCTCCCGCATCTCCTCTTCACCAATGTTAACATAAGAGATTTTTAAAAACCTGGGCTTCGCTCACATCTTTGTAGAAATTAAATTAACATACTTTATTTGAAAAGGCTAAATCATTATCGTTTTCAAAGGCAAGTTGAGGCTATAAACAACACTAAATTTGAACAACTTGTTTCTAGTCAAAAAACAAAAGCATTATTTATTTTCATGAGCTAGACCAAGTTTATATTTTCAGTAACTAGATGAGACTATGTTGTCAATATCTTTTAATTACATTCAAGGTAAAGAGGAAAGGATGGAGAGCAAATCCCTGTGTGTGAAAGCACTTTATAACTAAAAGCCCTCCATAGATATTTTCAAAATTATGTTTAGAAATTGTATTTAATGTCACTATAGTTACAGTACAGCTTTCACAATTGAACTTGTATTTAAAGAATTTAATAAAATGATAGTCACTCATGCTTTTACTTTCAATTTCAGGCAACTCTCACTCAATTCCTCTTCATTTTACATTTTGAGAATAAGCTTTAAGTCTTTAAAGTAAATTTTGTAAAAGTATCAAAATTGGACAATTTTTTATTTCAAGCTTTAAGTCCTTAAGAATCCATAATCTATAATAAACATAGACTTAGTATTCTCTAGAAATAATCTAAACTTTCTGTTAACATATTTTGTGACAGCATGCAAGACGACAGCATGGAAGCTTCTACTTCCATTTCTCAGCTTCTGAGAGAGAGCTATTTAGCAGAAACTAGACATCGGGGAAACAATGAGAGGAGTCGAGCAGAACCTTCCTCCAACCCTTTCCATTTTGGCAGTCCTTCTGGAGCTGCCGAAGGAGGAGGCCAAGATGACCTTCCAGATCTTTCAGCCTTTCTGAGCCAAGAAGAATTGGATGAAAGTGTCAATCTGGCAAGATTGGCCATCAATCACGACCCTTTGGAGAAAGCAGATGAAGCTCAAATTAGAAAACATCTTTCTTCTGATCCGATGAAGCACTCACCAAAATCAAGTTTTGACTCTAACTTCTGCCAGGATAACTCTCGAAGTGCTACCAGCTCTAAAGAGAGCCCCCAGGAGACAAAAAGGCCGCAGTATAGTTCTGAAACCCAGTCCAAGAAAGTATTCTTAAATAAGGCTGCCGATTTCATTGAAGAGCTGTCCTCCCTTTTCAAAGCCCATAGCTCCAAAAGGATTAGACCTCGTGCCTGCAAAAACCACAAGAGTAAATTGGAATCTCAAAATAAAGTTATGCAGGAAAACAGCTCCAGTTTCTCAGATCTATCAGAAAGACGAGAAAGATCTTCTGTTCCCATCCCTATCCCTACAGATACTAGGGATAATGAAGTGAATCATGCTCTTGAGCAGCAGGAAGCGAAGAGGCGAGAAGCTGAGCAGTCTGCCAGTGAGGCAGCTGGTGGAGACACCACCCCAGGGTCTTCACCTTCATCTTTGTACTATGAAGAGCCTCTGGGACAACCTCCGCGGTTCACTCAAAAGTTACGGAGCAGAGAAGTTCCAGAAGGAACCAGAGTACAGTTGGATTGCATAGTGGTAGGAATTCCACCACCTCAAGTAAGGTAAAATTGTCCCATTAGTGTCGTTCGGTAATTGCTTTCCATCTACCATGATCCCCCCAAGTTTACCTTTTAAGTATGTGGTGTCAAAAATTGTACATTCCCTTTGAGAAAAACAGTCAGAGTTTAAAGCAGACTGTCCAACAGAAATATACTATTAACCATATGTACTATTTAAAATTTTCCGATAACCACATTTTTGAAAGTAAAAAGAACGGGGTGAATTCAATTTTTAAAATATATATTATTTAACCAATATATTAAAAATATTATCATTTCAACATGTAATCAATATAAAAATTATTAATAAGATAGTTTACATTCTATTTTGCATACCAGGGCTTCAAAATCCAGTGTGAATTCTATATGTACAGCACATTCCAGTTGCATGCTAAATTTTCCTAGGAAATACTTAATTTGCATTTAGATTTCAAAAGATTTGTAGTTGAAAAAGTAGATTGACATACCCAAGTTGTTCCAAAGGTACTTAAAAATTTTGTAGTAACTGAGCTGGGTATCAGTTTTTAAATTTAATTTCATTAAAATTAAATATAATTTAAAATTCAGTTCCTCAGTTGCACAGTTCCTCAGTAGCCACATTTCAAGTGCCCAGTGCCACGTGTGGCTAATGACTATGGTATTAGCACAGGTCTACAGCTTGTAGTTTAAAAAAAAGAAAATATTTATGATTTTATTCAATGAATACCTGGGGTATATTTTTAATTTTAGAGAAAGCAAAATAATAGAATACAGGCTGATAGAAATAAAAATAGAATAAGGCTGTGACTAAGGTCAACTTAAAGCTTCATTTTACATGTATTTATTGTAAACTTCTTGAGATTCATTTAATGAACACTATTCTCTCTAATGCTCAATCTTCCCCTAATGTGACTGTTGAGTAGAGTGGATATTCATCTTTTCTGTGCCTACCAGTCAGCTTTTCTGTGAAGCTTCAAGCCTCCTCATTTGCATAGGTTACACCTAATTTTGCGTTCTAATGTTATTTTATTTTTTTAAGGGGCCCTTCCACATTTATGAGATTTAGGCCCCACAAAACCTGGATCCAGCCTTAGCCTCAGAGTGACATTTGCTACTTCTAATATTATAATGTAATAATATGTGAATAATGTGCATGAAGTGTATTACTTTCGTAGAGAATAACTGGTATTTAGAGTCCCGTAAGAGTTACTTTTCAGGTCTGGCCTGGTGGCACAGCCGTTAAGTTCACATCTTCTGCTTCAGCGACCTGGGGATTGCTGATTCCTGGGTGTGGACCTATGTACTGTTTGTCAAGCCATGCTGTGGTAGGCGTCCCACATATAAAGTAGAGGAGGATGGGCACGGATGTTACCTCAGGGCTAATCGTCCTCAAAAAAAAAAAAACAAACCTGACAAAACATGAGTTACTTTTCCTCCCTAACCACCGAATTACTACTAGAATATGACTTCATTACTATTTAACATTTACTCTAGGTATGTAAGCAGAGCCTCATCTTTTTCTTACAGAATGTTCATATTATTGGACTGTAATGGTATTCATAATATTGTAATTTATATATGCATATTGATTCAATGGATTCTAATCCAAAAACATATTCACATATTGAATTTTGCTTTTCAAAGGCAATATAAGGCAATATAAAATATTATTTCTACAATGGCATATACATTTTACTATCTGTTTATCCCAATGACCTCCATGAGGGCAAGGGTTCTGTCATTTTACCTTTCTATCTTGAACACCAAGCACAGCTTCTGGCCCATAGTAGTCACTAAGAAACACTGAGTAAATTAATGCATAAAGAAACAAGAAACTCAACTTAGATTTAAATCAGGAGTGAGAGAGTTGGCCTAAGATATGGTAAAGAGTTGGAACTGAACAATCCAGGGCAGTGTCTACCCTTCAACACTAAGGATGCCTGATGACACTTCCTGAGACTCTGGTCAGTAATTCTGATGAGACGTAATCACAGCACCGTAATGAGTAGCACTCAGTGGCATCTGGTCAGTCTAAGTAAGCTGGTGAGCACTCAAGTTGTGGTACATACATGACTTACTTAGAGTAGCCTTGTCCAACTCACTAATTTCTGGACACAGATTGGGCCAAACAAAATTAGACCAGATCATCCAGGATTCATTCTCCCTGTTTCTTGACCTCAACAATCTCAAATACAAAAAAGAATTTAGTGCTGCCGTCAGAAAAATCAGCCAGGAAGAGCTGTAAGGTACCCATTACCCCCAAAAAACAAAGTAATCTGGTAGTCACTCAAAAACTACTGAGTCAACCAAATATAAATTTACAAATTTGAAAGTGAAAAAATGTATATAGCTTCCATGTAGCCACACTAATTTTACCTGGGAAGAATTTCTTTACTGATAGAATTCATGCCTGTATCCCAACCACTAGTTTGGTGCCAAGAAATTAGCAGTATTTACTAAATATTTTCTGAGTTAATAGTACTTAATTTCATGACTACAGTTATATTAAGAAAAAATTTGGAATTTTCCAGGTAGACTATTAGCTGTCATTTTTCCAAGCACAGAATTCACACAACTCTAATCAGAAAGGAAATATTTATTTAGTTTTACTGTGAGCTTAATGCAGTGACAGAAACAATATAAATATAAGATGTGTCCCTGCCCTTCAAGGAGCTTACAATTCAATTGAGGAAAATTTCCTAATTTTTATAGTACAAACCATAAGAGCTATCAAGCTTTAGAGAAGGGATGGAGAACTAGAAAGGTCAAAGAAGGCTTCAGATACATGCGGGGGTTTAGTTGAACCTTCAAGATCAAGAAGGATTTATATAGAAATTTACTCATTTATTCATTCATTCATTCAACAAATACCTACTGAGTTACTAAAGTGACTCACCTGGAGTACAAAGCAATTGTGAGCTATTGGAGTCAGGGACGTTGTTTTGAAACCAAGTCTAAAACTATTCTGAAAGGATAGCTGACAATCTAACAGAGCAATCAGACAGACACATAATCGAAACATTGCAATATTGTGTAATAAGGGCTACAGCAGAAGTATGTATAGGATGCAATGGCAGCTCAAAGGAAGACGTGATTACTTTGCCTGAAGTGCAGGATAGAGGAAGCATTAACACAGGAGATGCCTCTTTAATTTGAGGAGACCAATGGTGGATGAAGAAAGCAAGCACAAAGGCCCAGAGACAAGTGTTTTCAGGGAACTGCAAGTAGTTGGCTATATGAAGAACACGGGGCACCAGATGAGCAAAGATGAGAGAAAAGACTGAAGAAGGAGGTAGAGGGATGGGTCCTTTTTGGCCAGGTCAACTCAATATGTTTATATAAAGGCACAGATGCTGGAATAGTAATATTTCTATCTGACAGGAAGGAGACTGACCTAATTTGAAAGGAGAGTAGAGCCAGATGATTTTGAAGAGCCTTGAAAGCAAAGCAGAATAGTTCAAACTTGGTTTCAAAACCAACTAGAAACCACTTAAGATTGTGGGTAGGGAGAGATGACGATGAAAGGAAGCATGTATGTAGAATTGGTCTGGAATAATGACTCAGACTCGAAAAGAAAGGAGCCATGAGGCCATTTATGAAGCTGTGGAAGGTATCCCAGGCATCAGTTCTCTGATCAGACTGTGGTGGGGGCTGTGGAAAAGCAGAGAAAAGAAGTGAGGGAGTAATATTTAGAAAAAAAGAAGTCAAGCCGAACTTGGTGATTGACTAGATAAGGAGGATGAGTAAAAAATTTACTCCACAAGTTTGAAGCTGGGAACCTGAGAAAACAATGGGGTCACTGGCAAGGACTGAGAAAGTGGAAGAGGTGGCTGATTTATGGAGGTTGATGATTTGAGTCTGAAAAAATGGAGGGACCATATCCAATAGGCTGACTGAAGGTCAAACGAGAGGGTAGTGGAACTGGAGACATTCCAAGGAATGACCTGGACATGGGGAAGTCTGGACACAATATCTTTGTAATTACAAAGAGACTATATTTACAGGTAACAATTGGAGCTAACTTCCAGTAGTGCTAGATTGGCAGTAGTATTTTCCAACCTTCTTTTAGTGGTAACTCCTCCTCCCATTTTTCTCCCCACAATAAATCTGATATATGTTACCCCAATGTATACTTTACATACACATTTTTTAAAGATAAAATTAGTGTTTTGGGGATTAAAGAGAGTTGGGATGGAGGGAGACTGCAGCCCTACCTGCTTGCTCACCACTGAAACTCCTAAGGCACCTGTATAGAACCCCAGAGCGCAGATTTTGATTCAAAGGATTCCTTTGAAAATGCATTAAAATAGTAATGAGACATTTTGGTTTGCCATATAGGAACATCACAGTCAATAAGAAAATTATCCTTTTTGCAATTTTTGCAAGAAAAATGATAAGTATACCTGGCAACTGAAATTTAACCTTGTATCTCTGCTCCTGAGTGCAATCAGTATTTGATCCATGTTCTTGTAACCCTAGTCCAGCAAATTGAAAAATCATTTTTGCATGTATTTGTTGATTTCCAAGTTTTGGGGTAGAAATTGTTTTGTAGGGTTGGCACCAGTATTTTTGAAAGCTTGTTTATCTCGGACATAGCTTCATTGGAGGAGTTGCCTTAGAAAATGAAATACGTTCATGCATTACCCACAGATGAAAGAGTCTGCAGGAATTCACAGCAAATGGCCGTGATCCCTTTTTGTGTCCTGACTCCAAATTCTTTTCCCCGGAATGTACAGCTGGGTCACATTAAGTACGTTTGCTTGTACACAACCTTCTGAAGCAGGACAAATTTACCTTTTATAGATGTCAATGCCTGCTTTGGCTGTTAACTTTTGCTATTGCGACCTCTGGACATTTGCCTGTGAGTGGTGTGCTGAGGAGATAAAAAGGAAATAAATTATTTATAAAGGTGAAGGATATTTTAAATGGTATAGGGGAATTTTAAAAATATTATTATAAATAATTATATATGATATATAATGTGAAATACAAATATTTTTAAATATTATGTTATTTAGAGGCTT